CCCCCCCCCCCCCCCCCCCCCCCCAAGGTGAATATATATAGTATTGAGACATATATTATCTGTTCATAGCTCTTTTAAACCAATTTCACCATACTTTGACTTCTATCTTTAGTCGTGCTAAATTTCCACTCTAAATAATCTTTACTTCAATACTTTTCTGTGATTCTAACTTATGCCCGACATATTTCTCATTGCAGAGTTTAGCATTCCACTAATACCATATGCAAATAACATACACCTTGATACCAAATGTCCACATTAAATATACATCTTGCTTACTCATTAATAACAGTTGCAAATAAAAATGCAAATAGCATTAACACAAAATAGGCAAATCTCAGCAAGAATGAGTTCAAATATCATAAAGTGGAAATAATAAAGCATGACAAGGATGACTTGGAATAAAACAATAAAATTACAATCGATAGGGGATTAATATTCTTTTTGAGCTAGGAATTACTTACTTGTAAGAATATCTTGGTATGCATGATGCTGAAGTAAACTTATCCTTAGTGGGGCGACTCCACCAGCTACTATGAGGACTCTTCACAATGTATTGTGGCCCACGATTTTTTATAGAAGCACTAGACTCAATGCTTGTATCAATGCCATTTGTTCGTATTGGAACAGTTGTTTGACATTGCTCATTTGCACATTTACTGTGGCGGGCTCGCAATTTATACCAATAAATACCAAACAATACAAGTGCTGCAATAAGAATTCCAACAACCACACCAGTGAATACACCAATAAGAACTAAATCACCTTTCTTAACCATTCTTTGGCTTTTCCCCAAGAACATGCAGTAGGACCATGACCATCTTGTAAGGGTTTACAGGTAAACCACCCCTGTCATCACCCCAAAAAAAATTAATGTAGTTGGTGTGAAGGATTAGAATAGTCGGGTAGACCTCTCGGCCTCAGTTTGAACTTTTTACTACTATGTGTTTCGCATTCGTCTATAGCTTATGCGGCGTGCTCTTTGTGCTTTGAATCTAGTTGCAGGTGTTAGGATGTGTGCTTCTTGAGTATGTGCCACCTTGTTCGCGCTACTGTGTTTACTAAACTTTACACTATCTACGCTTTTTGTGTTGGGAGCCTGAGCCTCTTGGAAAGAGTATCTCTGCTTACATTTAGGGGTAAGGTCTGCGTACAACCTACCTCTCCAAACCCTACTTCTATGGGATTCTACTAGGTTTGTTGTTGGTGTGAAGCTCCATAAAATTAAGTTGCTCTTTCGAGAAGTCAAGATACTACTAAGTACAGAGTTAATTAAAATACAAGCATAACTATAAGCATAACATTATGAAAAACAAACATAAATAAGTCGCCATGCCCAAATGTCCCATCGCCCTCACCACTCTTCCTATTTTCCCTAAAGCATAGAAAACCAAAACAAAAGTAGAGAGGAATTTCAATCTCCTCACACCCTTAATTAATGAAGTTTTTCTCGTGCTATACAGTGCATATCATCAAATGGTAAGTAAGCTTGGAAGTGTGAATGGACGCCTGATCGAAATCATGAAAGCATGAACAAGAGCAAAAAAACTAACTTGAGATGAGCCACTGAATTAGAAACCCCCCCCCCCTACATCTCACAAATGATTGTTTTACTCTAAAAAATCATTTAAATGCATAATAAGCTAAAGAATTCGACAATGATGCACATTTGGGCAAGTCCAAGTACACTTGAGGAAAAATGTAAGCCAGCAGACCAAAAAATATTCAATCAACTCGAGAAGAATGTCATGTGCTTTTACATGTGATGTTATTAACAAAAAAAAGGACAGGCTATCAGTTTATAGCGATTTAACCCAACCATAACCCTCCCTGTCTAACTCATATCATTTACTATTTTCCGTGCATAGGAAATTTGGTCAAGCAGAGAAAATTAAACAGCAAAATATAGAAAAAAATCCAGCAAACAAAAACAAGTAAATAGCCTAGCCTAGCTAAGAAGTGAGAAATGACAAACGACCAGAATGAACGCGCAGTACCTAAGAATCCGGCAGGGGCGCTACTTGCATCGAAGCGAAAATCTAGTGGATTTATCCCCAGACCCCAAAAGCAAGAAGAAAACCGTAAGGATGTTGTTTCCCATTGCTCGCACGCGGTTTCAATTGGTATAGTCGTGCTAGAGAATCTGGTGATTTACAAAAGGAAGGCCAAGCTTTCAAAAGTTACCCCGTATTTGTAAAACTAAAACTGGTTTTTAAATAGTACAGGCATATCTCCTTTTGCCTATTTTCGACATGAAATGACATTTCTGTCATTGGTTTTTCTCTATCTTCAAATTTCACTCTTTTCTTTATATTTTTTTTTATACAAATAAATAAATTAAAATATACGCCTTCTTTCTCAAATTAAAATTTTTCATTTATTTAATTTTCAAAAAAATATTTTTTTTAGAAAATGTTACAAAAAGTGAAACAAAATACACTTTTTCATTATAAGTAAAAGTAAAATAAATAAAATAAAAAATTAGATAACATATACTCACACTATCTCTAATTAAAAATTCTAAGTTATTTTTTTTAACTAAAATAATTTTTTAAGGACTTTAAAAAATGAAAAACAGAAAGATGAAATAAAATATGAAGTTAAAGAAAAAGACTATTTTTTACATTTTTATTTTTTTCATTACCTTTTTAACTATTACTCCGTATTATTTTTACTTTGTACATAATATTTTATTTTTCATTTTCTTTTGTAACATTCTCCAAAAAAATCTTTTGTTTTCAAAAATACATTATGAAAAATTCTAATTTGAGATGGGAAGCGTATATTTTATTTTATATATTTGTATAATAAAAAAAATTGAAATTGGAAAAATTCAAGATCGGGGAAAACAAAAGGCATAAATGTCATTTTTGCTTTAAAAATAAGTAAGGGGAGCATGTGTGCTCCATTTAGAAACCACAGAGACTTTACAAATAACTTTTGAAAACATAGGGGGTTTTGACGTCTTTTTTGTAAATCACGGGACACCCATGTTATTAATGTTAAATATATTCTATATTTAATGTAAATATATTGTTTCCTATTATTGTCTCCTACTTTGTATAGGATTAGGAATATATTGTTTCCTATTATTGACTCCTACCTTGTATAGGATTAGGAACTCTTATGTATATATAGACATGTACTCCCACATATTTGATCAATGAAATTAACCTTTCTACATGGTATCGGAGCCTAAAAATCAAAAACCCTAAACCCCCCCTCTCTCTCTCGTTCGGCCTTCTCTCTCTCGCCGTCAGCGCCGACTCCCCACGGCAGCTCTCCTCACCAGCGACACCCTCTCCTCCTCGGCGGTTCTCTTCTTCCCCTCACTATGGCCGAAAACAGCGAGATCACTTCCCAAAATACCTCCTCCAAACCTCCTCACCTTGCTTTCACAACAATCTCAAACGTGAAACTTCACGTCCCCGTTCAACTCAGTCTCTCCCAACCTAATTACAAAAAGTGGAGCCGACTCTTCCTCCTTCTGGTTCGGCGATTCAACCTCAAGGGCTACATCGATGGCTCCGTCGTCCCCCTCTCCGATGACGACGACGAATGGTTCCAACTTGACGCTCTCCTCCAGGGTTGGATCCTCTCCACCATCACCGATGAGGTCTCAGATCTGGTCATCTCCTCTGTCTCCACTGCCTCTGCTCTCTGGAAAGTCATCCACGACTTGTTCCACGACAACAAACATGCTCGAGCTATGCAATTGGAACATGAATTTCGCACAACAGTCAAGGGCAACTCCACTATGGCAGCCTATTGCCAACAACTGCAGAATCTTGCTGACTGGCTGGATGATGTTGATGCACCAGTCTCCCAACACCAACTCGTCCTTCAAATGCTTCGTGGTCTCCCTGCC